GCACTTAACACCTGATTAATATGTCCTAGGACATTAGAAATTCCTGAAAAATGCAGGCAAATACATTGTTTAATTTGTACCCCAAGTTAATAGCATTTCCTAGTATAAAGCCAAAGGAAAACTGTGATTTAAAACACTTTTATACACCACTGACACAGCCTTGTGGGAAAAGAAATGCAATGCTCTGAATGGGGTCCCAACACTGTGCCTTAGAGATGCACAGCTTGTGAATCCTCAAGTTCAGACACCTGCTATCAGACACAGCCAAGTTATCTAATTTAATCCATCTATTTAAAAATTAAATTTATGATTAACAATCATACTTTTCATTCCACTCCTATCATAAAACCATTCCAAACCGTTACAGGCCCTGGAATAAATTTCTAGTTTCCAGACTGGATCTATGCAAAGGAATCCTTTGCTTTTGTCCAAGAAAACTATAATTCCCCCCATAAAGTACTCAATCCAGAGACCTTATCAGCCCATCCTGGTTATCCTTCTATGCATCTGCTCCAGTTTGAAATCATTCCTAAGCACTCCTAATGAATCATTCCTAAGCACAGGAAACTGAGCTTACTCAGTATTTCAGATGAGACCTTACCAGCTCCTTGTATAAGAACATTAATACTTTCTTACCTCTGTCAGAAATCTTTTTCCTTCTAGACACCATCCTTGGATATGTTTCAAGAAACTTCCTCCAGTTAGAAGAGTGATCATTATCATTATGTGCTAATCATTATCGGATGTGCTAAATTATCAATATCAAGCTATTGACCTGTAGTGAAAATGCTACTCAGTCATTAACAATTATACACGACTTATGACATAAAAAACCGTATCTACCACATGGAACTGGTAGAGTCTGCAGAATTAATTATGCATTTTTTAACTGAAATCCAAGATTGCATATTTTCAATTTTTTAAACCTTCACACTATTCTAAGAGAAAAATATCATCTCCATACCAATACAGTTACAGAACTTTGGTCCTGATTTAGAAAAAGCATTTATAGTTTATGCAACTTCAGACTGGAAGCATTCCCATCACATTTAGTGGATGTCCTTAGAAAACTAAAACAATCCTTAACACTTTGCTGGACTTAATGAGTTAATATTCCAACGTGAAACTTGCAAAGAGCCCTCAAGGCTCTTTTGCATTTAACTACCTCGGTCTCCTCTGAACATTGAAAGCTTTAAATTGCAAAAAATAAGTATTTCACGTATTTGTTCTCTCTTTGAATAGGCATACTAAGCTGCAAGAGCTAAGCATGCGTCCTGGGTTTCCGGCACTGAGGTAGAGCTCTACCCAGTGCCTTCACACATTTACAGATGAGAAATCTTATTTTCCGCTGTTCTCCCGATGCCTTCCAAGTGCAAATCACTAACAAGAGTGATCACGTGTGACCATATGCTAAATTAAGTTCGCCCAGGAGACTTCATTCATCGGTTCCCCGGAAACTGGCGATTAAGCCTACCTACTTGCAAGGAGATGCCATTTAATTCAAAACCACAGAGTTTATTTTAAAAAAATTAAACCGGAAAAAAGAAGAATTAACATAATCATAAAGCCATTTTCCTTAGCAGGCTACAACGAAGGCGGAGGCTTTAAGATCACGCCCGACCTGTTAATTTCACATTAAAAGTGCTAAACACCCGGTGCTGCTCCGCAACAACCTGTACTACAGGCAGTCTCCAAACACACCTTCTGTTAATTTGTGACACTGCATATTTTACTGCTTAAGAACTAAGAAAGCCACCGCTGTAGAAGCTATTTATTCTGCCTTCCAGGTACTTCATAAATATTAAATAAGAACAGATATGAGCTACTGCACAAAAACTTCACAACTCGGCGGGAAGCTGCCCCATGGGCCACGCAGAAGCGCGGAGGGGACCCCGATCCTTCTCAGCGGCGGCGGGAGCAGCACCCCATCCCGGATCCCGGAGAGCCGCTCGGCCCGGGCAGGCACCCTGCCCCGGGGATCCGGCGAGGCAGCGCCGTGGGCCCCCCGTCCTTGCTCGCTGCAGGCAGGGCAGCAGCGCTGCACGGC